TATATTTCTTTTTCTGTAAAATGCATTTTTTTCCTAGTCTTATGAGACACACATTTCTTTTTTGTATAATTATTCTCTCGCTATATTTCTTTTTCTGTAAAATGCATTTTTTCCTAGTCTTATGAGACTCGCATTTCTTTTTTGTATAATTATTCTCTCAAAGAGAATTACAGAACGTTTCTTCCTCCCATAGCATATGCTCTGGTGGTTGGGTACGGGTACATTTTTAATAGTGACCTACATGTGTTTGGTTCCTTTTATTCTCAGGAAGGTGTAGAATCGAGTCCTCCCCCTTCCACAGTCTGTGCTCCAACTACTGCAGTTGGGCACCAAACCTAGCCATGGTTTTAAGAAAGGAGAGCGAGCTAGCTTTCCATATCCAAAGGGATAGTCCAGAGAGGGTTTGGGGCTCTTAAGTCACAATAGCACAGGGGTTCATAATCGAGAAATACACATCTTTGTTTTTTCCTATGGGCTTGCATATTTGCCCTTTGTGGACGTAAGCCTTAGCTACTTTGCTGTGGGCTATGGGAAAGTACCACAGTGAACAAGTGGCCTACCCTTCATGCCACTGGATATTCAATATTTCCTATAGAAGCTGTTCCATTTTACAGAAATGAAAAATTAACAATACCGGTTTCCCTCGATTTATGCGGGTTCTTTAAATGCATGTTCACTCTTGTGCGATAAGCATATTTAGACCCATAATTCATTATATGTGAGGTAAATTTGCTCTTGTGTGATTGGCAGAGATGCCCCCCGCCCAAGTAGGTAAGTCTGTGGGGGGAGGGGAAAGGGCCGTGGCCCCACTCACCCAAGGCCCAGCTGCAGTGGCCCCAGGAGCAGCTGGCACCAGCTGCCTGGAGCGGGGGGCGCCGGCCCCCGGCTCCCTGTAGCCGGTGTGCTGCACCATGCTCCGCCTGTCCTCCTGCGCCTGGGCTCACCCCAGCTCCTGAGCTGCCCCGTGCCATGGTGCAGGCAGCTGGTGTTGGCTGCTCCTGGGGCTGCTCCAACACATGCTAGGGTGAATGCGGACAAGTGGAGCCCCGGGCAGCACAGGGCGCCGCACTCAGCCCAGCCTCAGCTGCAGTGG